TTGCGTCGCTGCTGCTCGGAGCGTCGCTCGCGATGATGGTGTGCGGGTCGGTGACTTTTGTTATTGGGTTCATTTTGATGCCCTGGGTTCTTGGGGTTGTGATGGTGTTTTATTTTCTTGGGATTTTGAGGAACATTACGCGGTTTTGGATGGCCTTGTTTTGCCCCATTCGGAAGGAGATTTCAGGTGAGAATTTTTTTTTTTTTTTGTGAAGTAATGCGTATTTATGGGAGGCGCAACAAAAGAAAGAGTCTTTGTTAGAAATTTGATTGTTTTAAATTAATGGCTGGCTTGGTAACTTCATCAGTTGAGTGAATGTGTTCTTGTAGGTTCATTAATGCTCTTTTTGTCTCTTCATTTGTCCTTTAATTAGTAGAATTGATCGGTTCGCGTTTATTCATTTTTCGGAAAGTTAACAAATTCAGCACACCTACTACTTGTAGGATCCCGCATTGAAATATATCATCCCTTTCTTCTTTTTCTCCTTAGGATTATCCATGTTGCGGTTTGCATTTCGTTCTTGTAGGTTCGATTTTTAGTTGTTAGCTTGATTGTGCCTATGAATTAGATAAATCGGTTGTTGTTTTTTTGTGGGGGTGGGGGGCCGGGTAGGCTGACTTTGTTCAATTAGTATTTTAGCTTACGTAGGTAGATAAGGTTTTGTTAGATTTAATCAAGGAATATCTGATTGTGGTACCTTTGAGTTTTCATGCAATAGTTGAAGTCAAAGAAATGCATATCGTTCCTACCTTGTTGCATAAAAAGATCAGTGGAATGATTTTGTTGGAGACATATGGCTGAATTGAGTTCCCTTTTTCGAAGTTATGATTTTTGTGGCTATTTTCATGTGATAATGTGTAGTTCCAGATTAGATTTTCTCCCACACATGGCTTCTTTTTCTCCCCAATTATGGGGAAGAATAATATTAAGTTCATCTTTATAAGTTTTTTTTACATGTTGTTAATTAGTAGGTGTAAAAAATAATTTTCTGATTTAGATGGCTTGCTTGTTATGTAGATTGATATTATATAAGTTGGATTGATTTAATGAAGCATGACAATTCTATAAGTAAAGGAATTTCAGTTGGCTAAGGATGCAAGAACACATGTTATGGCATGAAAAGTCAACTCGTGAATGCACATCAGAGTGTACTCCTTTTATTGAGGAATTTATTTGAATGGGTCCTTTGAGCCTTATTCTCTTTGATAACTATCGTCTGTACTATACTTTCAGCTCTTGACATTGCATGAACCTTCACTTTATTTCTTATCTCGACCTTGTCTCCTTTGGTTACCCCAATGGTCTTGAAACGTCTGCTTACATTCTTCCCACTTCAGTGTGTACATGTTCTAGATTCAGATGAATTGATCATAGTGGAAAACCATACCTCTCCATATTTGGCATGGCAGGACACAATAGGAGATGGTGCTTAGAAATTGATCTGTCATCGCTTTCCATTCAGTCTTGATAGGATAGGTTGTGACAAGCCTTAGATCAGTGAAAACATGCAACCGTCCGTGTCAAAATGCATTTGATAATTTAGCAAAATAATTTACATGAACATTCACCCTGATTTTGTCATTTCCAAGGCTAACTACTACTTTGATGGACTGATTTTGGAAATATAAAGAATGAGATTCTTATAATGTTATCCAAAGATAGGTATTTCACTAGAAGACACATGAGCGCGCATGTAGATGCATGTGCTCATACATACACAGGCGCATTGGAGCTTCTCTGTATCTCTCTGTGTGCGCGCTCGTTCCCTTGCATGCATTGCGTACACGCACACAAATTGCTTATATTGAAAAGATAAGTACCTTTTTTTTGTTGAAAAGATATCATGAACATGAATATAGAACACTGACTATTTGGATAAACACAAAGAAGATGTTTAACGAACAAAAAAAGTTGATAAAGAGCACTAATACTATGTACTCTTATATTTTTCTGAAACATGATATAGGAAAGGTAAATACCTTTTTTTGTTGAAAAGATGTAGTGAATATAGAACACTGACTATTGGGATAAACACAAAGATGGTTAACAAACAAATATAGCCATGCTGAAGCTTCCTTCCTCTGCTCAGCCCAGAATTGAATTGGTGCGCATTGGGGGGGGGGGCAGTATCATAGATAAGTGAATAAAGTCAAGCTTTGTTTCATTAAATCACTTCCATTTGTTATTGCATAAAAAAGTCCTTAAATTTAAATGATACATAGACATTAGTAAAATTCAATTTATAAGTTTAATTTAATGCACTCGACGTTGAATCCATTTGAACAAAAAAGTGCTTAGTATATATAAAATTCAATTCAAGTTCGTTTATTTAAATACCGCTGCCGATGGATGGGTTGGAGGGGGGGGGGGGGGGCCCAAGACACGCATAAATAGATAAGTGAATAAAGTCAGCTTGTATATCTATTAATCATCTCCATTTTTTTTATTGCAATAAAAAAAGTCCTTAATTTAATGATACATAGACATTAGTAGAAAATCAATTCTAAGTATATTTAATTCGTCGATCATTGAATCATTTTGTAACAAAAAAAGTGCTTATATATAAAATTCAATTCAAATTTATTTAATCGCTCAGAGCGTGATCATTTGAAACACAAAGAAAAGTGATATATATATTATATATTTAGAATATATATATATAATATATATATATATATATATATATATATATATATATATATATATACTAAAATCACAAATGGAATAATATACATACTTAATAATCATTGGCGTGCTCATATAGATTCCCTAAAATCACAAATGTAACTTCTTTGCTTCATTTATGCACTTTCAATTATTACAAAATAGTGATTTTCCGTATTAGTCCCTTAAATATTTCATATATTGAAATCAGTGCCTCAAACCATTGAAATTGATAATAGGCCCCCAAAATAACATTGCTATTATGTGTCTCAATTCTCATAAGTGGCTTTAATCCTCCAATTAAGACCAGCACCACAAGATATATATCATTTTGGGTGATCTGAACAGCATTTTCAATAATTTGAGGGACTATTATCTAAATATTAAAGATTTAAGCTACTAATTCAAAAAGGCATAAAATATATAGATAATTTGAGGATTAGGGTATATGTGACAATAAGTAATCCTGGGGGGTGACTGCCCCAGCCCGCCCCCCTTTAAACCCATCCCTGAATGTGCTGTCGTCCTTGGCTATGATTCACTGCCAGATGTCACCGTCTTATTCTGTTCTAAGCACTTTGGAAGTGTTTCCTGCTCATCTTGAGGCTGCAATATGTGTATTAATGTATGTACATGTTTTCTAAACTAAGACACTATCACTGTGCATTAGAGAATCATCATGGTTGTTATCGTTGAAGTATTTGTTACAAAAACATATTGTAGGCAATACCATGTTGAAGCCCTTTTTCATTTTTATTTTACAGGAGGTATTTAACTAGGAAGACAGGATTAAGATGCTGCCATCATCGGTGTATTATATGTTTGGCATTATTCATTAGCTAGTTTCTTAATGACTTAGAAGTTATCAGGTTAATAAACACTGTCAGCAATTCTGAAACGCGCAAAACTATACTTTTTCAAACCAGCCAATAGAGACTTGAGTATTGCTGCTGCTGCCTAACAGTGTAAGGTCAGGTATGATATCTCATTTGTTTATTCTTTTATAGGCATGTGACACTTCGGGAGTGTGCCAAGTCTGTGATGCCCATAGTGCTCTCTATGCTACTAGCAAAATGAAGTCGTACAGAGGGTTGCATAATTTGTATAAAATGATTTAGATAATTTCTGCTGGATTCTGGTTATGACTTTTTTCACAGTAGTAGAAGTTAGTTATATTTGCACAAATCTTTGGCTGAAAATATTTGTTCTAAACTCCAAAAATTTGACCAGATTTTGTGCTTCAAAGTTACACTACGTAGGCAAAAATAATATGTGCTTTTATCTAAACGTCCTTTGGACGTACTCGACATTTTTTTAAGCCACTTAACAGAAGATGTCTGCAACTGTCAGGAACATGTCACCGCTTCAGGAAAATAGAAGTTGTGCTGATGTTTATTGCTACTGTAATTGTAATTATCTGATTAGTTGTGATATGCGTGCCAAAACTTAGGCAAAATCTATATCGTTGTTTGATAAAACACGACAGTCGCTGCTAACTTTTCTTAATCTTTCCTTCGCAGGTCAACTTTTCTCCAAACGCTCAGTTAATTTGGATCTATAAAGCAGTGAATGAGATCTGATAGCTCGAACGCCGTTGTTATTTCTTGTTTAGGTACAGTTTGCATGCCTTACGCCTTCAGGATTGCTCTCAATTATCCCTGATGATACAAATACATATATATATTGCTGATTTCTGCTTTTTGTTGTTCCCCGCTTTTTAGAGAATGTATTAGTGATTGTTCTTTCTGTTCTAAGACAGACGATGTATCATTTACCCGATGTTTGTTACAAATATGATGTTTTACTTTTTTTGTGAATAATTGTTTACGCGCTCTGAATTTTTAATTAATTCAAGGTTTGCAGGCCGTTTATGTTCATGCATTGCAAATACAAATTGAACTCGTAGTTTTTTCATATGTAAACGCTGGCTTTAGATAATTTTTTGGTGTGTTGGTTAGAGTTGGCGATATAAATGATGGTGTTTGTGGATGTTACCTGAACTATATTTTGGTTAATCTTTTCATGATTCGCTTGGTAAGGTAGAAGACCTCTAATTCTACAAGCTCTAAATTATGGGAATAGAGAGTTTTATATGTGATACCTATAAGCATGGGGGCTACAAAGGACAAAAGGATGTAGCGAGTAAAGGAGAAACTTTCAAGGATAGATGGTTTCAAATAGAAAAGCTCCCCTGAATCCAGGCATATATGAGGTAGTGATATAACAATCAATCTATTAAAGAATCAATTCATACAATAGAATTTGAGTTTGATACCTTCCCGCTATAGCCGAGTCAAGAAAGGAATCCATACCTAGCCCCACAATTGAAATTTTGTACATGCGAATATCTTCACTTTTCTTTTTTTTTTTTGGGGTATTTACTTCAAACACAAGGCTTAAAATCTCCTCCCCTTCAAGCAAATGTCATTACAAAATACGAGTGTATAAAGCATGCATCCCCTCAAAAAGCCACCTCCTCTTCCCACCACCACACCTTCCTCTTCTTCTTTTTTTGCCTTTACCATCTCTCTCCTTCCATCTTTTACTTTCTTACATCCTAAGCTTAGCGTCCCAAATCCTCCCATTATAAGAAGGGCCTTTCCATTCTTCCCAACAAGTTTCAAGAAAAGAGAAATATTGAGATGTCGACGGACTGGGGCCCGGTGATCGTGGCGGTGATCCTCTTCATCCTCCTGTCGCCGGGGCTTCTGTTTCAGCTTCCGGCGAGGGCGAGGGTTATAGAGTTTGGCAACATGGGGACCAGTGGGATATCCATCTTGGTCCACAGCATACTCTTCTTTTGTATTCTCACCATCCTCGTGATCGCTATTGGTATACACGTTCACGCTGCATAAAAGGAGATGGTTTTATCGAGGAACATACTTCAAAATTCTTTACTTGTTTCTTTATGTTTTTTTTTTAAATTGTGGAGAGAGTGATTGTTCCTTGTTATGATTGGATGGGGTTCTATTCATCATTAATTATGTGTTTGATGGCTACAAAATTATTGAAGGGAAAAAAAAAAATTCCATCATGCAAGTGTAGATGGAAGCATATGATGCGTTACGATAAGTGAAAATAAGGGGACTTGGAAAATATATCCTCTACTTTTGTATCCTCTTATTATTATTAATGATAGAGGAGTTCATCCTGTCCATCATTTTTTATTTTAACTTCCATTTTTGGGTTGAAGATCTGGCGCGCGTGTGGCGTGTTTTCTCACGGTTTTTGCAATTCAATTGCTCTTGTTCAAGTTTTGTGCAGCGTGTATTTTTTATTTTTATTGCGTAGTATTATCTGAAGTTATATGTAAGTGCAGTACAACATTAGAAAGAACGAGAAAGAGGCGTGGACTTAAATAGAAGTTGGAGTTAATACACAAGATGACCCCCTAAGATGTTGTTATTATTGATAATGAGTTCAAGTAAGAATCGCATGCTTTCTCACCAAAAAATAAAAAGTAAGAATTGTGCGTTAAAAGCACAACTTGCACGAGTGAAATTTTTTTTAGCGTCAGAGATTGAAACCTTTGTCCATGAAATGGAAGTTTATACGTATGGATCAAATAATGAAAAGAGGTATTGGAAAGATGAGATTATAATCCTTGTGTGGTCCTGCTGCAAATCAAGCCTGAGCAGCAGTTCTTCTTGATACCAACTAAAAAGTGTTTGCTTCATTAAAATAAATCAGAATGATGGATCTTATTTTCTTTTTGAGCTTTGTTCCAGGGACCCAAAATATGACACCAACAAGAGGGACATATGAGGTGTCCACTTCCTATTGTATAATAAGTTAGCCATTATTAATGATGCCAGCACATTAAACATTAGGAGGGGGACATCTCACTTGTCTCTCCTGTTCGTTTCATATTTTGGGTCCTGGAGATTTTTTTTTTTTCCTATTCGTATGGCTGTCAGATCTTATTTTCTTTTCTTTATTTTTTTTTTCTATTCATATGGTTGTTGGGCTTCTATATTCACTTAGACGTACTTTTTTTTCATCTCTATGCTTCCTCTTATATAAAGTCATACTAATTAAAATGTTGTACCTGAAAAGTAATACAGCTTTAAATTTTAGAGAAATCGTCAACAATCATCCTTATTGTTCCAATTTGCAATTTATACATGAAAATATTTAGAATTGTAATTTCCATTATATACAGCAAAATTTTAATCCTACCTTGTCCACTTCCAAGCAATAAAACAAACTTTATGCGTTTTCAAGAGCTTTCATGTGTAAAAGAAAAGAAATGAAAAGAAAACGGAAAGAAATGAAAAGCAAAGCGATGCAGAACAAAAAGGGCAATAAGGTAAAATGTATGGGGGCATGTTTTGGCTTATATTCGAAATGTAACACAATTGCCTAAAATCCGTAGACCATAATTTTATCCAAATGTAAAATTAATAATTCGAAGCTGACCACGATTGCTAACTTTCCAATCAGAATTTCCTTACAAAATCAAAGAACAAAAAGCGATTACTTATGCATCTATTAATTATGTGGAACACGCGCTGGTTACTGACTAAAATTAAAATTTTGACAAATCCCATTTTTACCTTACGTGAAAGGCAACCTCATCAAGATAACATATTCATCATATTATAAAATTTTGATGTTTGATAATGTTACAATTTAAACTTGAAACAAACAAAATATTACATACAAATTGTAGTATTCCGAATCCCAAAATATTAATGAAACAAACACCATTTTAGAAATCCCAGCGCACAACAAAACATCTATGGATTTCTATGATGAAATTCATATCTTAAAATTATAAAATTTGAAACAAACACCCCCTTAGAATATTTCCAATTTAAAAGGAAGCAAATTTTGTGTTGTTGAGACCGCACCCAGGAAAACTAGGGAGAAACGCTTCATATCCTTCACGAGCTATCTAAACGAAAGTGTTTAGATAGCTCACCACGCTCGCGAACGACGAGAACCACGTGAGCCTCACGCTCCTCAGAGTTTCGAAACTATCATATATTAATTAATTAACTTTCCCCCACCACCGACAACAAAAAAAAAAAACAAAAAAAAAACCCACAAGTTGTTCCGCAGGACCATCACACAGACACCACCGGCATCATCATCATCATCAAACCTACCAAAACTAGCCCTGTTAATTACAGCAGCAGCAGCAGCAGCAGCAGCAAACGCAGAGGAACCTAATAATTAGCCGTCGATCTGGACTTCATCCGGCGTAGATGTGGAGGCGGAGGGCGAGGATGATGATGGTGTAGAGAGCGAAGAAGATCAGGGTGTGTACGGCCACCGCCTTGCCGTTGGTCCTCATGTTGGCGCTGAACCGATCCGGAGAGAGAGAGAGAGAGAGGGGTTGAAGAGAGAGAGAGAGAGTAAAGTTAGCGAGCGGAGATAATAAATGCGGGACAGCGGGTGCGCGCGCGTGAGTTGCACGTGAGAATATTAATTTTGCTTTCTCGATCGAAAAGTTGGCGTTCGGGTGCTGATGTACGTGGGGCCAATTTTGTTGGGTTGGTTTCTCCGAGAGAACGCGGTGTTTGGTCGAGCGCGGTTGCGAGCGCCTCTCGCATCAGTTGCGTCCAAATTTTTAAAAAAAATTCCCAAAGAATCCAAAATATGAGACCAGTAGGGGGACATGTAAGATGTTTTCTTCCTATTGTATAATGAGCTGGTCATCATTAATGAGTAAAGAACTGTGTACTTTCTCGGGAAAAAAAATATTGTCAAAAGTGTAACTTGCATGAACCTGAAAAACTTTATAATGTCCAATTTTAAGGTGAAATCAGAACTTTGTTGGCAGAGTGGAAGTTCAGAGTTTATTTAGTATGTAAGAAAATGGTGAATTTGTTGGGAGATCAAAGAATGGTTTTTTTTTAACCAAATGATATTTAATAATCGAAAGAGAGATTGGGGAAAATTAACTTCATATGTTAGTTTATATCCTTGTGCATTCGGCTGCCAGGGGAAATTATGAATAACAATCTCACTCTACCTCCATATATGCTGTTCCTCAAACATTTTTATTATAATAAATGGACATGCAGTGTAGTCGTAAGTTGAACAACAGTAAGTTTAGATTCCAAAGTTCCAAAATAAAAATAAAACAGAGTTTTTGTGGTGATAAGACGTAATTAGTTGGAGACCAATTAAAATGCGGTCCTTAAAAAATAATATAATTGCATGTCTTATAAACAAGCTACTACTATAAAAACCGTTCTGTTAGTCTAAGTGTGTAGACCCGAAGCTGCAATCGAAAAGACAAAGAAAACAGACAGAAGACTGTACGGTCGACCGCAATGGCAGATCCGGTCGACCGCGTGTATTGCAGGAAACTGAGAAGAAACTTTCGCTCTGGCCGGTCGACCGGAGTGGTCTCTGCGGTCGACCGAGATCGTGCACAAGACCCTGTAGGATTTCGTCGTTCTGACCGGTCGACCGACTTTGGTAAAACGGTCGACCGCGACGCAGATTCCCTGTTTCCTATTTTATTTAGGAATCCTGTTTGGCTGGGGTTTGTTATAAATACCCAAACATTTTTAGGGTTAGTAAGACACGAAAAAGAGAGCTTTTTGACTGTAAAAAAGAGAGAGAATCTCAGAGAGATAAAACCCTAGTTTGAGAGCTTGTATTTTTCTTCAATTAATAAAAGAGATTGTGTGGTGTGGCTCCCGAGGACGTAGGCACGTTGTCGAACATCGTTAAATCTGTGTGTTTGTCTCCTTTACTATTCTTGCAAGGTTAGATCTTTATTTATGGTATTATTCCTACTTTCCTACTTTTAACACAAGGTACGGAAGGGCAAGGGTTCGATTGATTGTTTCGAATCCCCAACACGTTCATCCTTATAGTTGATAAAATTTTGGGAAAAAAAACTTTTTGACTGCATAATTCTTTCCATTATCAAAATCAAGTAAAGAAAATCCAAATTTTAATTTCTAAACTTCACCACAGAACAATATGTGTACAAGGAAATGTTAGCGCATCCTTCTTCTTCCACATGAAGAATGGAAAGCTAATAATTAGATGATGAAGCAAGACAGAGATGAGCGGTAAGAACATGACAACCCACTAACACTGGGCCCCAATCTATAACCCCGTCTCTCTCCTCTTTTTTTATTTCTCTCTCATGTTCTTGTTCTTTGAGAATGTGGAGAGAGATTTAGAGCAAGAAATAAGAAGTTGTTGCTCACATTTATCTATAGGGGAAGAAATAATAAGAAGTTGTTGCTCACATTTATCTACTGCATTAATTCATTGGATTTTTGTTTTGTTTTCTTTTATGGGATTTTTCATAAATATTAAATGTCCTCGTTCTGACTATGCTGTGCCAATCTAAGCTAGAGCTTTTAATGTTTTATTTATTTATTTATTGTTTGTATTATTGTTATGATATTTTGAAGTCGTCAAAGTACAGCCTTTCGCTAGCAACGGATAGGTGTTCCATTACGTGCACCGCTCAAATCGAATTGACAGTCAGGACCACCAAGAATCCCAGCTTAGCCGACTCGCCGAGTCGACATCTCTTTAGATCGACTCGAATGTCGGTGTTTATCGGTCCTCTTGTCGAAGACGACTCGCTAGGAGCCCACTCGACCAGTTATTCGACACCTTATAAGGTCGACTCGAAAGGCGTTCCTTCTCGACACCCCTCGCTATAAGCTAAAAGACAACTTTAGTCTTGAGCCTCCTCACAGACAGCATGTCAGCATCACATTAAATGATTGGTGGATGCCATCATTTCTTTAGCCTCGATAGTCTTCGTGACATATCGGACCACGTCGGCACCCTTGTACCCTCAATCACTTCGTATTAAATATTGAGGTGACCTCTTCTTCACTCATCGATCGATATTTGTAAAGTATGTGCTGACCTAGCTGCCATCCCATACTCATTTGCCATCATCCTGTACTAAGTCGAGATTACCATTCTATTCTTTTTCCACCACTATAAATAGAGATACTATTCTAAATACCAGGGCAAGCAAGCAATATCTGAGAATTCCACTGCACTACACTTTAAAACTCACACAGTTCATTGTTTTCTCACTCAAGTCCGTCAACTGACTTGATCATCGAAGGAACAACGGGGGAACTAGTCCCCGTCCTCTCACGAATTGCTATCTATGCAGGCTGAAGCTACTCAACTCAAAATTAGATATTCGAAAAAGTTAGCGACACCC